GTGCCAGGACTTTGCTTTTAAGCTGAAAATAACTTTTTGTTTGGCCTTAACCAGCTGCGGGCAGAGCTGCTGCCGGGCCCTGGGCCGCGCTTCGGCAACCAGCAGCAAGAAATCGGAGCCCGAAATGCTGCAAGGAGCCACGCCAGGAGCTGCTTTAGGGCTGGGGGCTTCTGGTTTAATTTTTCCCCCTTTCATTTTCTGGCTGGGGCTCAGCCTGACCTTGGGAAGCAGCTTTAAATCAAATGGTGGAGAACGCGAGGGGGTCCTGCCTGGACCACGCACCTGCTCCAGCATCCTCCTCCTGCCCAACTCAGCAGCATCCTCTGGGAAGGTGTTTCTGAGCCATATAAGGACGGTTTTGAAATGCAAAGCTGCTTTATTAATTAGTCAGTGGGGTGAGGAGACCCATGTTCTCCCTGGGGAGAGCATCTGCACAGCCCTCACCTGCAGCTCCGCCTGCGGACGCGGGTTCGAGAGCGTTGACGGTTGGTTTCAGCAGATGGATGCTGTGGATACTGTCCCTGCAGCGTGCAGGGGATTACACCAGGTAGGGACGGATCTGGGGGAAAAATGAAAATAAAAAAACCTAAAGCAAAAAAAAATCCACCCTGAATCTCTCCGTTGACCCCGTTCGGCTGCAGAGCTGTGAAGTCAAACCATCCCGAAAGCGCTGGAGATCTCACACGTGTGAAGGGCGATGCCGGGCGGCATCTTCTCATCCCCCCCAGCAGCCGGCTCTATAAACTATGGATGAAATATATATCCAGCCGTTATCACCCACCAGCGTATCCCCATCCCAGGAGGTTCCTGCTGCAGGAGGAGATTCCTACCAAGAGAAGGAGGATTTCACCGAAAACACCAGCAAAAGAAAATAGTGGGGTTGTCCCTGACCCTGACCACGACGGACCACGGAGCATCCCAAGGGACCCCGCTAACTGCGATCACCCCCGCAGCACCGAGCGACCTCCGGGCCGGCACACAGCTCTGGAATAGCCCTAGTTTGGGTGGAAAATGGACAAAATGCAGAAAATGGGTTGGGAGAAACTGCTGCTGTGGGTTGTGTGTGGGAGAGGTGCCCTGCGGAGGGGGCAGACCC